ATAATTAAATACCGATATTAAATAATTAATGTTTATTATAAAAATTGACATATAGACATGAAAATTTTTTCATTTTTAGCATTTAAATCTGTGAAATAATGAAATATTGTAATTTTATTTTTTAATTACAAAAAATTATTATTTTTTATTAATTATTAATAATTAAATTTTTTTAATAAAAATAAAAATGTACTGAAAATAATATGTTTTATGCATTGAAAAATAAAAATTTGTTAAAATATATTATTTCTATATTTTGTAAATAAAGTTATTTATTAAAATAATATTTTATTTATAAAATTGAAATAGATTAAAAAATTAATGTTTTAAATTAAAAATTTTTTATTTGAATTAATATATGTAATTAACTATTATGAAAATTAATTAGTCGTTAAAATTTTTTTTTTTTTTTAATAATAACTAATGTTTTTTTACCTATAAACAAATTTAATTTTATTTTGAACAAAATTATATTTTTAATGATAAAAACTTTGTTATTTTACATAGAGACGAATAATATTATACTTTTTTTATTTGTGAGTGAGAAGTGACCAAAACCAAATAATTGTAAATCATCGTAAAAATATTTTAAAAGGGATAGAAACAAAACAATACATTTTAAAATTATACAACACAAGAATACTCGCAAATGCGATTGTAAAACGAAAAGTACGAAAGTAATATAATTTTAGGTTTATTACGTCCTGCAGCCGTTAGGTGGCAGAAGCATGCAGGGAGCACAATGTCGCAGCTGTCATTATATTACTTTCGTACTTTTCGTTTTACAATCGCATTTTTGTATAGATTTGCACAATCTTTCGGATTTAAGAAATTTATAAGATAAGGATCCTTGGTATTTTTTCCGATTTTGAAAAAAGTGTCCGCGTTTTGAGAAAAAAGTATTTTAAACTCAATGTTTATCATTTTCACGTTCAGTGCCGTTTTTATAGGGCGATTATTGAATGCCAAAGAATTTCAGAGACCGTTCGACACTCTTAAACGATATTTTTTTATTTGTGAATTTCTTTTATATTTAAACGCATTCTTTTATCCTACAATAATTTTTAATGCTTATAATTTGTTTCATACGCGTATATGCGATTTGCGAGTATTCTTGTGTTGTATAATTTTAAAATGTATTGTTTTGTTTCTATCCCTTTTAAAATATTTTTACGATGATTTACAATTATTTGGTTTTGGTCACTTCTCACTCACAAATAAAAAAAGTATAATATTATTCGTCTCTATGTAAAATAACAAAGTTTTTATCATTAAAAATATAATTTTGTTCAAAATAAAATTAAATTTGTTTATAGGTAAAAAAACATTAGTTATTATTAAAAAAAAAAAAAAATTTTAACGACTAATTAATTTTCATAATAGTTAATTACATATATTAATTCAAATAAAAAATTTTTAATTTAAAACATTAATTTTTTAATCTATTTCAATTTTATAAATAAAATATTATTTTAATAAATAACTTTATTTACAAAATATAGAAATAATATATTTTAACAAATTTTTATTTTTCAATGCATAAAACATATTCTTTGCAGTACATTTTTATTTTTATGAAAAAAATTTAATTATTAATAATTAATAAAAAATAATAATTTTTTGTAATTAAAAAATAAAATTACAATATTTCATTATTTCACAGATTTAAATGCTAAAAATGAAAAAATTTTCATGTCTATATGTCAATTTTTATAATAAACATTAATTATTTAATATCGGTATTTAATTATTTAAAATACTATACTTGATTTAAAATAAAAAAACTACATTAAATTATGTATATATTCATTCGAATTTAATTTGACCATTTGAATTTGCCGCTCTTCCTAGTAACTTTCTGTCGAATACTTTTTGTCAGTAATGATGCATTTTCTCAATCCAGTGGTAACAACTCTCGCAGGTCTCGTGCCTGTCACATTTACCTTTTTAACTTTTAGATAAAATTTCGTCGCTCCTCCTCGTAATCGGCATTATTACACTTCAAAACAATCGGCTTTTTCATTGACAATGTCAAATCGCGTTAATACACATCAATTCAAACAATCCAGGTGAACCGTATTCACGGTAAGAAAAAAGTATACACCGTAACGTCTCTATACCGTCATTACATGCCGAACGGTATAGCCACTAAGCTATGAGTCTATACTTTTTCCTTACTGTCTATACTTTTTTTTTTACTGGGTAGCGAATTGATAACGTCAACCGACCTATGGTCGACTCAGTTGGCCCAACTATGGCTGCCAAAGGTTGGTCGACCTTGGCATTAAAATTTTTGACGACCAATAAAAAATAAAATATAAAAATTTGTTACACGAATAACATATATTAGTAATTATTCTAAATTCATCAAACAATTATTTTAAGTATTTAAATACTAAACGTAATCTTATACATACATACATTTTAAAAATATTTATCGCTCGCAAGGATCGAACCCGCAACCTAACGCACCAAAATCTAACACGCTATCCATTACCCTACGCTTACATGAGAGTCTAAGGAAAAATTAGTCTCATAAGTTGCATCTTTAAAGAAATTTAGCCGACCGTCGGCCCGACTTGAGCCGACCATTAAGAAGTGGGCTTTTTAATATTTTAGCTGCCACAGTTTTATTAATTACCATTTTGTTTAAAGTATATCCCAACTGTGATTGCTAAATTACAAGTCATGTCAACCGACGATCCCATAGTCAGCCCAACTAGGGCGACCAAGGTTGGCCCAACTGTGGCTGCCCAAGTCATGCCGACTATTATCCCTCATAGTTGGCCCAACTAGGGTTGCCGACCGTCGTGCCCGATGGTTGGCCCAACTATGGCAGCCACAGTTGGCCTGACTATGGGGGACTATGCCGACTGTATTTTTAGAAATTTTAAATAAGAACAAAAATTTTAATTATCATAAATTAATGTAATAATTATTAATATTATAGTATTAACAAAATAATTCTTTAAAAAATTACCTATTTCAAATTATTTAATAAATATTCTATTTTATAATAAAATCATAATGCACAATTTATTTCATATCGAATCACTTTGGGGTTGGCAAAAGATTATTATAAAAATAAAACATATTTAGATAAGAAAATTAGTCAATTTGAAATAAATTTTGCGTTTGAATTATCATGTATTTATATTTTAATTATTTAAACGACCATTATATCCCACAGTCGGCCTAACCATGGCGGCCAAGGTTGGCCTAACTGTGGCTGCCCAAGTCATGCCGACTATTATCCCCCACAGTCGGCCCAACTGTGGGAACCATGGTTGGTCCAACTAGGGCTGCCGACGTTGGCAGCCATAGTCGGGCCACCTTTGGGTGACAATATTTACCATGGTCGGCATAACTAGGGCGGCCGACTCTCGTGCAGCTGTAGTTGGGCCAACCAACCATCTCTGGCGGCCGACCGAAATTCGCACCTGGGTATTAATGAAAAATTTAATATATCTGTTTAGACAATTTTGAATCGGATCGAAAAATTTTAGGTTATTTTGTCATATTCCGCACAAAATTTAATAATTTTTAATAAATGAGATTTGTAAATAAATTACAGTACGCTGGAGATGAATTAGATTTGTTTAATGCTTTTAAAATTGAAAAGATACATATCACTGTCTCTCAACTTACAGCGGTAATGAGGAAGAAAAGATTGAAAAATGTAAATGATTTGAATCGGAATCCATCGGAAATTTTCTTGTACGACCCGGCTGAAAAAACTTGTACAAGAAAATGTACAAGTTCTTGTACATGTTCATTAATGAACTTGTACATTTTCTTGTACATGTTCGAGTAATGTTCTTGAACAAGTTCAGCATCCGGAATTGAGACATGTTCTTGTATCAGAACTTGTACAAGATCCTGAACAAGAAAATATACTTGTACAAAAAAATGTTCATGTTCTTGTACATATTTTTTATGCAGGTTTCATGAACAAGTACTTTTACATGAACACGTTTATGTTCTTGTACATAAACATTTGTTTAAAAATGATTTTGAAAAAAATTTGTAATTTTAATAAGTTATAGTTATTAAGACTCTTCACTTCTGCATACTAAAAATTATTGCGCAGCTGTGAAGGCTTAAGAAAACTACTGCGGAGCCTTTAAAGTTTTTAATTTTTATTTTGTAAAACATAAATGAACGTGTACAAGAACATGTTCCATATTTGGTCCAAGAAAATGTACATGAAACCTGCACCAAAAAAATATGTACAAGAACATGTACATTTTCTTGAACAACCCAGTAAAAAATAAAAGATAGGGGAAAGGTGGGTAAGTTCGCCCAAAAAAAGTTTAGAGTATAAAATAAGTTACTTAATTTTAATGTTTGAGTATAAAAACTCATTCATAAGACAAAGACAACCTTCAGAAATAAAACAGAATAGTTATTTAAATTGTCTTTTAATGAAAATATTGAATAAATTTTAATTAAAATATCGATGGTAAAAATGAAGAATTGATCTGAGGTGCGGGTAAGTTCGACTACGGAGGAGGGTAAGTCTGTTTCTTCCAAAAAGTATGAATAAATTGAAGTAAATGTGTCAAATTTTGTTTTATTTGTTTTTATTAATCAATAATCTTATAAATGTCTTAAAAATTAATACTGTATTATAATGAAATATACATTTTTTTGGCAAATTTAATTTTTCAATCAAAACTAGTTTTTAAAGGAGGAGAAAGTAGTTACGTAAAGTACGTAACTCTCAGAGACAAATGCGCATGCGCGCTTTGTGCGCGCTTATTTCAAATGTTTTTCTTTCTCAAAATATTCAAATAATTGAGGAGCCGGATCGTAGAACCGATTCTTCACTAATGCGCAAGTCCCCCGCGCAGCTGAAAGCTGGCTCACTTGAGGGACTCCGGAGAGAGCGAAGAATCGGTTCTACGATCCGGCTCCTCAATTATCTGTTATTATAAATTTATTCAATTATGCATTTTTTCTATTAAAAGATTTTTAGACACGTATCACAAATAAATAATTTTTTTTTACTAAATGTATGGCGCATTTAAGATGAGCCCATGAAGAGCAGTCTTGGCATTGGATCCATTCTTCACCAGGTATTGAAAGTGAATAAAGTTCATTGCATGTAAGGCAATTAACATCGTCCTCCGTTTTTATTCTCTTTACTAGTGAATTCGAATTCTCTTTATCCAAACTTCTTCTCTTTTTAATTATTTTTGATTTACTTAATTTATTCTTAGGTGAAATCTTTGGTGTAGTACTTCGTAATTCCAATTCTTTTTTATATTCATCAGAAGTTACTATGACAGTTTTCCCTTTTTTCTTTGAAAAATTTTTCGCTCTAGTATTATATTTACCCTGCGGTAGAGGAGCAATGTCTGCAGGTTTTATTAGCTCTTTTTTCGTGTCACAAGGTGTTTTAGTCATAGGTTCTGGAATGTCTAATTTTAAAATACTATTAACTTTTGAATTTTCTACATTTAAGTGAGTAATAGAAATATCGGCTAATACTGTTCGATTGACTTTCTTTCCTTCAGTCTTTTTACATTTATTTTTGGTTTTAATTTTTGGAGAACTATTTACATCTAGTTCTGATTCATTAATAATATTTTCAGTATAATCATTCGAGTCGTGTTGCCTTTCGTCGCAGTTCATACTCTGAGATGACGTAGCCTGTGATGTTACAATTTCGATATCAGTTGTGAGAGATGGTGAAAATTGCTCTTCACTAAAAATCTTGGAATTAATGGGGCAAATTCCTGATGTTTTAAATCCATTTATTGCAATATTGGACACGGCAGCCCGAATGTAAGATCTTCCGAAAATTTGTCCAACATTACACATTTTAATAGCCTGACCTGGGTGTTCCCGAAGCCACGTTGTACACTCTTGACTATAATAAGTCTTAAACGGCTACATTATTTTTCTGTGCTGAATAAATGAGATTAAGATTTTTAACATGCGTACTGTGCCCGTCTAAAATCAGGAGAACTGGATTGTTCTCACTTGGTTTTGCGTATTTCAGAAAATGGTCGAACCAAACTGGACAAAATATTTCTGTTTGCATCCAACCAGATGGATGAAAAACGATTAGTGATTCAGGAGGACAACCGTTTTTCAATTCCGACTTCATTCTTTTTCGTGGAAACATCAGAGTAGGTGGAATAAAGTTCCCAGCGGCATTACAACAAATGACACAAGTAATTGTTTCCCCTCTTTCAGCAGAGGTTAGCAATCCTACTTGTTTTTTCCCTTTAACACTTAGAATTTTTGGCACAACATTGGGTACAGAACTTATGCCTGTCTCAACAACGTTGTAAATTCTGCTTGGTGAAAGCGAGTATTTCGTCATTAATTGAAGCAATAAATGAAAAAATTGTTCTACATTAGGCTTATTGAAGCCACAAGCTCGAGCAAACGAAGTTTTTTCCGGAGTTCTAAGACTCAACTCTGGATGTCTGTTTCTAAAATCTTTAAACCAATCTTTACCCGCTGCTCCTACATCTTTATTGAAACGGTGAGGTATGTTATTTGCTTCTGCAAATTGATAAGCGATTCTACGAAACTCTATAGGCTGCAAACCGAACATTCGCTTATCCATTTCTATAAGATAATTTTTAAGATCTTCTTATTCCGGAGTAAAAGTAGACGTAAATCGTCCAAATTTTATATCAGACTGTGTCACTTCATTTTCTTGAAAATATTTCAGTCTTCCTCTCAAGGTGCTGAATGGAATCCCATATGAATTCGCTATTAATCTTGCATGACCTGGCCTTTGACGACATTCAAGTATCGCTTTCAGCAAGTCCTCTGTCTTCCATCTCCGTTTACTTTCTTTTCGAACTTTAGACATCTTTATGTTGTCATCTGCAATAAAAATATAGATTTGGAATATGAACTTTTTTCCAATTTTCAACATTGACAATTTAAGCATTACTTAATAATAAGAAAACGACATTCTTCTATTTTTTAAAAATAATCACCAGAATTGATGCTCACTCCCAAAAAAAGACCAAAAAGATTTTGCGTCACCATAATCACACGAAAATCTGCAAGAAAAAAATTTATTTTGATAAGAAGTAAAATTCGATCAATAGAAGGTAAAAAAAACAAAATAACATAAATCTGTTTTATGTGTTTTTTTTACCTCCCTGCCGGAAGAGTGGTACTGGATTGGTACTGGAAAATTGGAACTGAGGGCTCAGTACCAACTCAGTACTAATTTGATGCATATTGGTACAGAAATGGAACTGGGAAATTTACCTGCGAAAAGGATCGAGTTACCGTTAATACCCTCATGAAAGTGAAAAGCGACTAGCTTTTTCAATATGTTGAAACTAATACTTTATATTTATTTCAATATCTTTTATTTATTAAAGTACATAATATAAATAATATAAATCAAATAAAAACATTTGGAAGTTATTAAAATTAAATTTTCGTCTTCTTAAAATGTAAATATATAAATATAAATAAAATATGTGGCAATTATTAAAATTAATTTTCCGTCTTCTTAACACGTACAAATATAAATACAAACAATAACATGTATAGAAATTTTAAAATTAATTTTCCGGCTTCTTAACATACAGGGTGTCCCAGTCGAGGGTGTACATATTAAAGGGACATATTCTTCAGAAAAAAATAAGACGAAAAGTCCTTTACAGTTTTTTAAAATTTTTTATAGTTTTTGCGTAAATTGCAATTGAAAATTTAAAAGTTACGCGTTGTGATTGGCCGTGCAAGCTCACTGGGCCGGTAGGCGGGGCGACTTGAACAGAACATTTCCAAAATTTGCAGGCGTGGGCGTTTAGCATCAGCGCTGTGATGCATCGGGTTAAAATAAAATAAAAAAATTTACACTTTAGTAATTATTTTAAAATAAGACCAAGTTAGTTACTTTAACATTATAAAATGGTTATTAATTTAATACATACGCTAAAGTGTAAATTTATTATTTTATTTTAACCCGATGCATCACAGCGCTGATGCTAAACGCCCACGCCTGAAAATTTTGGAAATGTTCTGTTCAAGTCGCCCCGCCTACCGGCCCAGTGAGCTTGCACGGCCAATCACAACGCGTAATTTTTAAATTTTCAATTGCAATTTACGCAAAAACTATAAAAAATTTTAAAAAACTGTAAAGGACTTTTCGTCTTATTTTTTTCCTGAAGAATATGTCCCTTTAATATGTACTTCCTTAAATGTTTCTTGAATTAAATTGTCCATGAAATCATTTTTTACATCGTCTGGCATTCGTGTTACAAAAGGATTAACAGCCTCAAATAATTCTTTTCTATCTTTTTGAGATTTATATCCAGTTATTTTTTCCCTTACACTGCAATGTAAAACTTGAAAACCAACTTCTTGTAATAATTTTACTAAAGTTCCTCTGGGATTATCGTTGATATAAAGAGGAGTTACGTATCTTCTAGCATCCTTTAGATATTCTCTATATTTTGAATTTTCAGAAAGTTTCAAATAACCATTATAACCGTTAAATAACAAAATATGTTGACTTAGGAAAGTTCCTCCTGGTTTTAACATTTTGAAAATATTTTCAAAAGCACATTTTAAATCTGCAATCCAGTGAAGACAAAAGAAAGAAATTCCATGATCGAATCGTTCAATGTATTCCGAAGGCAATTCAGTTGTTTCAATACTCATTTGCTCGAAAGTTAACCGTTTCTCATCAGAATTCAAAATCCGAGCACTATCGACCATATTCTTCAAGATGTCAAATCCAACAATTACTGCATCATTAGATATTTTTGGTAAAATTAAATTTTTCGTATTGTTACCAGGCCCACATCCAATATCCATAATTGTACCCTTCATTTTACTAACATCGTTCTCAAATTCATTCAATAAGGATGTAATCACCACATACTGAATGCCAGTTGAATGTTTCAAATATTCATTAGCTAGATTCATTGTTTCGATTTATTTTCAGAAATTGTTTTTGGAAATAATTTTCTAAAAATTAATTTTCAGAAAAATGAAAAAAAAACCTTTATGATGTAGATGTATTAAGTATTTAGATACTGCCTGATGAATAGACAATGAGCCAACGTGAATTATACTCTTAGGAGCAATGATAAGCAAGCAATCTATTTATTTCAATATTATATTTGTTTTTCCTGGATTTATATTATTTTCATACATTATTATGCATATGATATGTCCTTTGGCAGCTAAATTCAAAAATGATGTCCATTTTTTTGTCAAACTTAAGGTATACGAGATAAATTATAACTTTTTTAAATGTAATTATTTTTTGATAAATTTTAGATATTGATAATCTGGAAATATTAACGAATCTCAATATATATTTTTTAAAGTTAAATTATTAAAATTATAAATTTTTTAAGCAATAAAACTCGGGTTAAAATTTTAATCCTTCAACAAAGGACCTAGGGGTCTATTGTTCAAAGAGGGATTGCAATATAATTTCCAAACTTAACAGAAATTGAATTTTACTTCTTATCAAAATATACACTTGGAAGGGAATTTCTCATTCATATTTAAAAAAAATTTATTAATTTACTAAATAATTTTATGGTTACTCATTACTAATTTTTAACTAAACAACTATTATTACTATTTATTTATACAGTAACAATTCGCTAAGTAATTATTTTAATTCTATGATATTTGAGGTTATGTATTACTTTATTCTCTTATTATAAATTAAAACACAAGCAAAGCAAACATTTAAGGCATAAAAGATATATAGAAAATAAATATTTTTGTGGTGTAAAAATTTAAATATTACAAAACAATTAGGTACCTGTATTTTTATCAATATGCAAAAACACGTGGACACAGTAACCATACAATGAGACACACGAACATGACACTCTATGACAAAAAAATTTGTTGTTTATTCCCAAGAAGCACGTAATATAACCTCAATATCAAGGTAATATTACACGTGAGATTCGTAATATAACGCTGTAATATTACAGTAATCTTAAAATGTCCGCCTCAAGGTAATATTACCGGTAATGTTACTGTAATATTACGCGCTAATATTAAGGTAATATTACAGTAATATTGCAGTAATATTATACCGTAATATTAAGGTAATGTTACAAGAGAATATTACAGTAATATTATGGGAACATTTCTTTACGAAAAAAATCTACCCATCCAGGGAAGCGAACCCCGAACTCAAAGCACACGAGTCCAGAGTTTTACCAACAAGCCAAATTGACTTATAATATATTTATGTTTTTTATGCTTTATGAATAACTCAAATCAGTCTGTAATATTACAGTAATATTACAGTAATATTACCGGTAATATTACCTTGAGGCGGACATTTTAAGATCACTGTAAGATAACTGTAATATTACAGCGTTATATTACGAATCTCACGTGTAATATTACCTTGATATTGAGGATATATTACGTGCTTTTTGGGTTTATTAAATAATATTTTAATTAATTATTCCTAATTTACAAAAAAATATTACAATTATTATTATCTACAATAACTTATTCACTAAGGAATTATTGTACCCTGCTAAAAATAAAATCAGAAATCAGTCTCAAAACGTCAGAATTCCTGACGTTTTGAGACTATTTTGATGTTTTGTGATGCTGCTGACCAATTCTGACTTAAATGGTTTTTATGGGCCTTATGTTTCTGAAAAGTGACTATTTTTCACTACGTTTTATTTTTTTTGTGAAAAGGGTCAGACTCAGACCCACCATATAACTCTATTATGTTAAGAAAGCCATTAATTTTGAAAAAAAAAATTTCTATATTTTTGGTATTATTGATATGAAAATGAGATATTTGGAAGATTCAATTTTTCAGGATTCTAGACATCCAAAAAAATTCTATAAATAGTTAAAAATTAAATAGTTAATTTCTATAAAAAATTTTTAAATATGTATTTGAAATCCTCAGAACAATTTTTTTTATTTTTTTTCAAACCGCTTATTTACTTTTACCTACTACAATTTACATTTTTTTATATATTCCCTTTTTCCAATTGGGATCTGAAATACTGCGATACGCCATCTGGTGACGACCTCGTTGTGTCAGCCATTTTTCGTTTCATCCTTTTTAAAATATATGTAGAAGAAAGAGATAAAAAATCAAGATGGCTGACCCAACGAGGTCAGTTTCCCCATAATTCCCTATGATTTCAGATCCCAATAGAAGGTTCCTTTCGAGGGTCCATCAGGTTTTATGACTTTTTAATGCAAAATAAAAAATTATTTAAATTTAAATAAATATTTTTTTAAATGTTATATTTGTAATTTATAGATTTTAACGATAACGATTCCAATGATGTAAAACATTATGTAAAAACTCTAAAATTACATAATGATTATATAATAAATACTCCATTAATTAAAATTAATTTTCAATAATTTAAAAATATTTGCAAAAAATTTTATATCGTTGTAATTGTATTAACATGTACATTACGAATATAATATTTAAAAATTATTTTTTTCAAATGCAACAATTTTTAATTTTGCAATGAAAAGCCATAAAACCATAAAAGATCCTTCTGGCCTATACTTTTCTTTTTGTCCTTTTCTAACGTACATATAATATACATGGAATCACGTTTGTAAGACAAGGACAGAAATAAAGGGAAGGCGTCAATGACTACGACTATACTTTTAAAGTCCCTACTTCAAATTTGTATTTATTATTTTACAGTAAGCTAGTTTCCTTACATTTAGTTATAAGAAAGCATATGTTGAAAACCTAGTCTTACCACTGTGTTAACTCTATATATATATATATATATATATATATTTGAAAAAAATTAGAAATCGCTGGCTATTTCACATAAAAGTTTATTTTTTTACAACTAGATGAGCAAAAACATTCTGGTTTCTTGTAAAATAGAATATATGAATTGATCGCTCAATCAATCTCTGAGCGAATTTGATCCAGTTTTCATTCAATATAAATTTGATTTGAACCAAATATTGCATCTAATTATAGTGCAGTATGCTAAAAAGAGAAATTAAAATTAGTAATTATTTAGTTGATTTGTGGAAGAATTATGTTAAATTGAATTTTAATAATATGTGACGCTCCACGAGAAAAGGGATCTTACGTACTTTTGACTTAAGGTTCATTCTCTGTGTCAAGTCACTGTAAAAGCGAACCTTAAGTCAAAAGTACGTAAGGTCCCTTTTCTCGTGGAGCGTCACATATAGTAATTAATATATGCATATTAATTAATTCTTATCATTATAATTAATTATAATAGTAATGAATGTGCTAAAACGTGAGCGAAAAACCTGATAAAATTCGCTTAGAGTTTACTTGAGACAATCTAACAGTATCTTATTATTCTAGACTATTTTATTTCTATATTACACATATTCTTTTAAGTTCGAATTCAAATAATATTTACATACGAATTTTTTGTTTAATTAAATATTTGCTAAAGCAAATTTTATTAATTGAATACATTTGACACCGGTCACTGTAGAAGAAGCCACCGGGCCAAAGGCCAAATCTATTTCACTTTTATAACCAATGGGGAGCATTCAAAGGTACAGCGAAATAGTGGCAGAGTAACTTTAATTTCACTAAAGTTTGGAAGAGAGAGAGAGTGAGAGAGAGTCACCACCTCACAAGAGAAAAGCAACTTTTCCGTTGTGACGAGCACCTCAATTATTGTTACCAGCAGTTAGTCTCAATAATGGTGATGATACAAAGCTTTAAAAAAATGGCGACTGACAGTGTGGAAACTGTGGAGTCCAAAAGTAGTTTATAGGTTATGATTTATAACCGTAAGTTGATTCACCACCCCAAAATAGAAAAGCAACTCTTCTATTATGGCAAGTACCTCAATTATTGAGAACAGCAACTATTCTCAATAATGGTGGTGATCGAAATTCAAGTTAGTGCCGGGGGGATGAAAATGAGTCAATTTACAAGTGATCGTTTATTTTCATTAAGTACACTTTGTTGAAATAATTCTAAGTCCCACAAGGGTAGAATATTTCTAAGTTCGAAAAGCGAAAGAAAAATTCAAAGTCCAAGACTCGGAAAAAATTCTAAGTACGAATAAATAGAAATTTTTCTAAGTCCACTAACTCGGAATTTTTCTAAGTAGGAAGCTGTTGCGTAGTATAGGGTAGGCTAGGCAGGGAAGGCAACCAACCCTGAGTGAGCTCTGCAACAGAACTGACGTTTTGGTCCAGTGCATCGGCTTTTATAGCCCACAACTCTTCCAAAACGACGAAAATAGTGGGAGAATTTTCCAAGAGAGGGGTAAATCTTCCGTCTATGCACTTCTTACTTTTGACCCGCGGAAAACCGCGAGTCAAGAGCCAAGTCGCGCGTCTTCTCGCGAGATTCACCTCTATCCCCGAAATTCTCTCACATCCCTGCTTAACCATTCCTTATTAACCTAATTAATAACTAATCTTACTTAATAAGTGTGATATATGATAACAATATTATTATATTAAAATATAGTTTATTAATATAATATGTTACAAATACAGATATGCATGTGTAACATAATATATATTTGCTATAAGTTAACAATATAATATTATTCGTATTAAACACACACACACCCACACACACATATATATGTATATATATATAACATTATAAATTATAAATCACTATAACAATAATATATACTATTAACAAATTATAATTATTGTAATAACAATTATAATTAATAATTAGTTAATAATAATTTATTATGATACAATAATTATTTATAATAAATTATGCTATAAATGATCTACAAGATATAAAAACCACATCTAACTTTGAACATAACCTTTTATTTAAATAAATAATTGAAAATTCGGCTCGGAAAAGTATCCGGCGAACAGAAAGTTAAAAGAAGTGGCGCGAGGAAAGCAAAGGGCCTGTCGCGTTGAGAGTGGGAGGTGCAAGGATGAATAGAGATGGGCCGTAAGGCGAAAGTGGAGAGAGCGAATAGGGAAAAGAGTGGAAAGCTTGGAGTGTAAAGGGGCGCGCCGATAGGATGATTGGAAAAATGTAGAAAAACACATTACCAATGACTCAGCTAAGGACAAGAATTCATGAAGATGTAGCAAAGTTTTTGCATTCTTCATGAATTCTCGTTACCCCCATCAGTGACATGTATATATATGATAATTGGACTATAAATGTTTTTTGATCAATATAAGAATATACCTATTTTAACTTTAAGGTGCTTATATACCTCAAATTTCGATCAGATGAACATTATTTCTGGACCGTGAAAATGCGTGAAAAGTCATTTTCACGGCGGGTATTTTTGAATTGTTTTAAACAAAAAATGTTTTTTTAAGA